GGGGGGGGGGGGGGGGGGGAGGATAGGCGGGGCATGAGGGGGGCTGTGGCAGAGAGGCGGACACCTTCTTCTTGTTCAGCCAGCACACTCTGTACCGCCGGGACGACTACTCCTTAGAACAAACACCAGTGGTTCAGGTACTAGGCCCAGCTACAATCGGCGGTGAGCTCTCCTCGTAGTGAAGTAGAGAAAGAGGACCTGGTGTGTGCTTCTGTGAATCGTGGATTGACTGATATAGCCACGAGAGCTGCTTTCTGATGACGCGTCCAGCAGTTACGGATCGTGCAAATGCGTAACGGGTGTTGTATTTCACAGCTGCTATTCTTACCGAGGAAAACAGCAGTCGACGAGAGACTGATGGTTGACAATAATGGCGGGCTGCGGCACGCTCGCTGGTCATCGCACGTGGTGGTCGTGGGGGAAGAAAATGATGTGGTGGGAATCTTCATGATTTTTTTCGATGCCGGCCCGCTCTTTGCGGATGGATCACACAATGCACACCCATGGAGGGACCCATGGGGCACCACAAGTGCCGATCGCCCGCACATCGGGCATTACCCGACACAACCTCATTTGTCGCTGCGGCAGCGGGCGGGCGGCCTTTGCGCTTTAGGAACCGCCCTTCCTTTTGGCAACCACTCGGTTCTGCGAACGGTGCAACATGCAAACCAAAACATTCGCGTATGGACAGATCTGGGTGCTCAGGATTAGACTAATTATAGATGAGAACAGCGACCGGTGGTGCCACGAAGGCGGTACGCGGGAAGAAGTTTCCCGACGCGCCGAAAATTTTGGCCTTGGTCCTACAACCCACCTGACGTCTCCCTGTACTCACCATTTTGCTCATTCACTCATGGCAATCGCACGGTAGGACCGCCTACGCGCGATTTTAAGAGTATCTAGAAAAATAATAGGGCGGGGGCACCCAGACCCTAGATCCCTAACCCTAACCCTAGCCCTAACCCCGAAGCACGGATTGAATACTTCATCACACGTGTTGCCCCCTATGGACAAATTATCATTTCTTTTTATTATGCATTACAAATCCTGGAATCATATCCCCTGGCGGTCCCTCCGTGTGGAGCTTTGAGTTATTCTGCTCTACCTCTCGCTGTCGTGCTGATTCCTAATTGTGCACATCCGATATGCCTTGCCCACATTCGGACGCCCACTCCCCGATTTCTGTCAGGTTTGGTTAATGTTAGGTGTTCAGCAAACGACGTTGAACGTTCGCTGCGTGCTTCCAGGGTTGGATTTCTGATTCGAAGTATGATGTTTTCGGAGGTAGACGCATGATCGCTGTTGAGGCCTATTTGCAGACCACCCTGCTGACTACTTGAGCATAGACTTGAATTTGGGCTGACTTACGCAGGCCAACTGCGCTCCCTGCAGTGCTGATCCCCAATCGTGCACATCGTAAAATGTTCTATGGTCTTTGATCTCCACTATGGCCAAGTATCGGTCGAATCGGGGGACTGTAGTGTTTCAGTAATCCTACGTGAAAGTTGGCTCACACGAGCTGAAAAGGTTGCGCGCAGCAGCAGAAAGTAGCAACTCAGATGTGATTGCGAGGCATTTCTCACGTCCAAGCAACATCGAATTGTAAAAACTGCTTTCCGATGGAAGTTATGACCTGCCTGAGGTGCCTATATACTTTGGTGTCACGACGAGGTCTGTGTGAGGAGCACGAGGTGGTGAAAGGACTGGGGTCAGCCATGTCAAGTCTGGGGAGGGCGGGGGGGGGGGG